GGAATTAGTACTGAGTTGATACCTATTGGAAATTGCACTTACTGTAACACTGTATGACCTAAAAGCAAACTTAAAAATATGTCTCAACCAGAAATGTAAAATCAATTAGCCCGTGAACCTGCCTGGAATAAAATCCAAAAGAGAGAGGATAAGGACTGAGATTTGCAATCTGTGATCAAGATTTTATTTTTGTTATAAACACAAAATTAATTTTCACATACTGTATTCACACATTAAGTTCAGGAAATCGCAGTAATGACTCTTGAATGCAAATTACAACTGTGCTTGCAAATCTGTCTATGAATTTTATGGACATTGGCAAATAGTGTATACTGTAGTAGTCTACTGTTAAATAACTGTTCCACCAAACATTAAGAAGCAGAAAGTACTTAGTACTTAGTGTTGCCAACTACTTCCTCCGAAAATTGTTTATACTTTTGTTCTCTAAAAAAATACCAGCCTGGGCAGGGTTCAAGGCAAAGCTGTAATATCTGCTCCTTGCAAGTACTCATGGGTAGGGAGGCAAGCAATACAGCAGTAGGCCTCTTCAGCCTGCCACTACAAGATAACACAGAGCTCCGCCCCAGGACTTTCCACCATGGACTTACTGGAAGTGCCCATCGTGCTGACACAGGTTGCCTCTGAGTGACACTGGCCACAGGTTGTTTTGGCACTGTTCCACACAGTACAGCTAATCCCAGTCAAGTTAATCAGCGTGACTGGCATACTCTGGTCCCGGTAGCGCATTTTGTCTTTTAGGTTCATTATACTTGGAAAAGTGGCGAGTGCTTGTCCAGTGGCTAGTGTAAGGACATCAGCATTGCAACATTATGGGAAAAGAGTATCAGGACACCAGATATTGTATCTACTGTACATGTACTCTGCCGCAGGTCATGGATAGGGTGTTTCAGGTTGAGATTGGCAACCTGCGTTTAAGAATTTTTTGTTATAAACACAAATATAAATTTCACATATTCAGACATGAAGTTTTGGAAATCATTGTGATAACTCTTAAAATGCAAATTACAAGTGTGCTTGCACAACTGTTGTGTGTATTTTGATGCGAAACTTTAAATGTTTGTGAACTTAATATACAATTGGATAATTTAAGCAGTTTTAAACACAACTTAACTTGTATGCATGTTTCTCCTGGTGTATTATTTATTCTTATAGACGACAGGACGCTATATAATTTCGTTGTGCTGTTTCATCATATTTTAATTGAATTACTATAAAATGTAGATCAAGTCTACATAACCAAAGTATATACAGTATACCATACAGTATGTAGGTTACACTTACTTTGATGTAATGAAGTGTGATGCCATGAAGGGATGTGTCATAGAGGGGCATGGCTGCACAGCAATTAACCAGTGAGTTTGCAAATATGTGAATAATAATTGTATATCACAATGCCTAGATTGATTTGTTAAACTGAATTTTAAAATTACAATAATAAACATCTCATTACAGTTGTGTACTGTTCTACACTTTCCGAACATTCTTTACTACTCTCCCTCTGGTGGCTAAATTACTGCATTTGCTACCTGGCAGCAGGTACTGTAACTGTTCTTAATGTTTGTTACAGATTAGCAATAATTACATCTCTCAGTCATGGCTTCTCATGGCAAATCAAAGTTTATAAAAAACATAAGTTGCTCTCAGAGCGGTTTTCTCATTTCAAATGTAATTTGGAGTTCGTTGACAACTTTCACTCCATCCTTTTAGGCACGTGACTTACAGCAAGTGTTTTTAAAAACACAAATCATCAAATTGACACTGTAGTGATAGCACAGCATCTCTTACAAGACACTTCCACTGCAGTGTGAAACAAAGAGAAAATAGTTCATAACTTAGTTATGTTAGTTAGTCTTATTTCAGTTTATTTGTATTCATTCTTATACAGTATTTAACTTCAGTCATTGTTCATGATACAAAATGATATACTGTACACCTGCCCATTTGAAGCTGCTGCAGCAATTTCCTCTTCTGGCGTGCAGGTAGGGTGACAAAGACAGACCAAGCAGGATCAGCAGCTCCAGGCTCACTCCGGTTTAGTGCCTTGCAGAAGCACAGTGGGGCGAACGGA